AAAAAACGTGTCAGTTATTGCTACATGCTCTTTCTGTCAGTCCCTGGTGTCTCCGTTGGGATCCAGATGGTTTGTGGTGTTGCTTTGTGGTGTTGTGTCATTCTCATAAGCAGCCATTGAAGTGAGGAGGGGTCTGAGTTATTGAGCCCTGTACGGGCAAAACTTCATTTTGTACAGCTCATGACATTTCCATTATTTAAAGTGCAGCAGTGATCAAATGTAAACACTGTGGGCGAAAAGACATGGTGCCAAAAAACACACTGATATGGAAGTTCAGAGGATTCAGTGTTTTGGTTTGGTGTTATCAGTTTGATGCAGAGGCTGTGAGCTGATTTAGAGTTTTTTCAACAGTTCAGCTGTGGGGAAGAAACTGCTTCAGGATCTGCTGGACCTCCATCAGATGCTTTGAAACTCATAGCTGTATGACGATCAGACTAGCCTTACCTGTGCTACGGGCTGAGAATGAGAAAAGAGCTGACACAAAATGAAACTAACTGTGTGCTCTCTATTTACCTCCCCTGTTTTCTGATCCTAGAGAGAAGGAAAGAGGAGGAGAAACAAAGGAAAGAGGAGGAGAAGAGAAGAAAAGAAGAAGAAGAGGCCAAGAGAAGGAAGGAGGAGGATTTAAAGAGGAGGAGGGACGAGGAGGTGAAGAGAAGGAGGGAAGTCGTAGCCGTTGCCAGGGTCTGCAAACAGTCCAAAGTCTCGTCGGCCACGACTTCAGAAGAAGAGGAGTCTAATGGAGGAAGAGGTCCGAGAAGCAGGAAGTTCCTCAACCTGTTTTCCGCCAGCAGCAGCAGCCCGTACTGCTCCACAGGTGGGTTGACCTGCAGATACTCCTTTATCCTCAGACGGTCACCTCTCTCATTCTGATATCATCCACACCGTTCCACGCTAATAGAAATAAACGCAGAGCGCTTCTTAGATCAGGGGCCCCCAAACATTTCACCCAGAAACTAACGTTGATACAGAACATGACCCCTGAAAACAAATCAGTTCATTTCACTCTTTGTTTGTTTATGAATAGAAAGTGAACAACCATCTGTCAATCAAATGTTTTCAGTCATAGCATCTTGATTCATATGTCGCAGCTAATATACACAACGG